ATCGAGCGTTTTCGAGCTAATTCGATGAACATTTTGTTAGAAATTAGTAAAGTAAAAAATAATTAAGTTGAGGTAAATAAGTAATACGTAATTTCATAATTACTCACCTGACTCTACTCTGCTCCTTGATCACCTGCTTTCCCTGATTATCAGGATCATTTTCATCCCTTGGGCAGCGTCTGTCCTCTGACCTGGTTCTCCTCTTGGAGCAGGGCTCCTGGCCGCCATCAAGATCTTCCTCTCCACTTTCAAACGTCGAACTGTGCCTCCGTTTAGCTGATCCCTCCCTGATAGGATCCACTGAGGATTCAATAGAGTTTCTCAAACAATCCGCTCCCTCAGCTTCCCTTTTGCCCTCCAACCTAGACGAAGACGTTGCTGGCATCATCTGTGAATGGTTAACAACAACTGTACGCCTCTTCGCATTTCTAGCAATCAACAGAGTCCTTTTATCTGTAATGGTCGAATGGGTCCTCCTCCTGGTAGTCAACGTCTTAGATACTTCCTTGAAACTCTGAATCCCAAATTGGGTTGACTTCCTCAGTCTGGGGCCGTTTTTCAACTCGTTACACGACCCAGAGAATTCATTCTGCCTCGTAATTTTAAAGCTTTCCGCTTTCGTCGACAGCAGCAATTTCTGGAGATTATTTGCAGAATTTAGAGGTTTCCTGGTGGATAGATTTGGAGGAGTAATCTGCGTCGAGGGGCTTGTGAGATCCTTAGATGGAGAATCTGGCTTTGTTGATTCTGAATCCTCTGGTAAAACTATAGGAGGCCCTTTGTCTTCCACATTATCATCATTCAGGAAGGTTGCAGCATCACTTGACGAGATTTCCGCCACCTGAATGCGCTCTGAAGGTTTCGAATTTTCTGGCGTTGACTTCTGGACCTTTAGAGGCTCAACAGAAGGTGTTTGAAATGCCTCATTGACAATTGAAGACGTCTCCGATGCTTTCATCGATTGCAGAACGACGTCAGAGGTTTTCGGTGACTCGGGGTTAGCTTCAATGATTTCTGGTGGTTTAAATGATGATACCCGAGTCTCTGGAGGTTTGGAAACCTCTGGAATATCTCGAGAAACTTGTGGAAACGCTTGAGGTGGATAGGAAGGGTACTGAGGAGGTAGAGCTTCATTACAATCAGATCGGATCGCTTCAGGAGCAGGAGTGACGATCTGAGGAACACCAATGGGTTCTTGTGACTGCCCAGGGGGTGATTTACATACATCGCGAATGTATGGGTAAACCGATGCACAAGGACGAGGGGGAGATTGGAGGACTGGTTTTGGTACTGGCATTTTATCTTTTTTACGAGAAAGAAGGACTTCCCCTCGAGATGGACCAGGTGGGTCCAACATCAGTGTCACGACGCTAGTATTATCAGCTCGAAGGCGAGTGGAGGACCAACGCTCTAGGGCTGAATCTACAAGACTTTTTGATGGATTTATCCACATTTGTGTGTCAGTGCCATTGCCAGTTTGCTGAGAGGCGATGAAGTGCTTCTCGTTGTGTCTTTCAGCTCGTTGGACCAGGGAAACTGCCATCTCTGGAGTCAACATGTTCCAGAGACCGTCGGTACCGAAAATGAGACAGCGATGGGACTTGACATCAACTGTCACGACCTTGACGTCAGGTTCAGGGGAGACGACAAAGGTGTCCAGTTCTGAGTTGTAACTCCAGAGGTCCCCCAGAGATCTAGCCACTGCCAGGAATGGAATTTCATCGATGTGAGTCGAACGACGAACTGGGCCCTTGTGACCGATTCGAGGACGATTCCACACCACTCTGGGAACACCTGATTTCGAGACAACTTTACCTCCTGATTCATGGATTCGAGTCATCTCAGGGATTGATTCAGGTTTGTGGTCCTTTGTCAAGGGTCTAGCTTTCCAATTCGGGTCACCTTCGTCCTGGTAACCCAGAATTATCGCTGAGTCGCCCACGTGGCCGATGTAGATCTTGCCTTTGCGGATGAAAGCAATGCTGGCTGTCGTCCCTGCTGTTGAGGGAAGGCCAGATGCTGTTCTTGGCCATTTGTCTGGGGAATTTAACATATTTTTTATTAGCAGATATTGAAATCGGAAGAGATGAGATCTAGAAAAATATTTCTTATGAAGGATTTGAGGTGGGGTCAACGTTGTAGGATTTTTTTTTAAACTCTAACCAAAAATCTATTGAAAACATTTTATTTGGGTATTAAAAGGAACAACTATTTATCCTTTAATCTTAGATTATTCGATTTTAAAATATAGATGTAATTAGTCAGACATTTGTTTTTATTTTTATAATTCTATAAAGTACAGACATGATTCCTAAATAAATTATCTTTAAACCAGAAAAGTTGAAAAATGTTCGAAAAACAATATTAATAAACTTGCTCTGGTTTTTGCGTCTGCTATCGTTTGTTGTAGACAATAAATTTTTTAGTTATTATTATCTTTCTCAATTATGATGATAAAATTGCATTTTTAAAATTTTTGAACCTATGGTTAAAAAAATAATCCATGACTCCTGCGTCAGTTTTTTAAAATTTTGTTGACAAATTTGAGAACGAAATTTTGTAAAATCAATACTTAAGTTATCCGTTAAATATCTGCACAAAAATGTTTAAATAATGTATAGAAAACCTTTTTGAAGGTCTTACCAACTACAAAAAAACTATTGATATTGACTCCTAAAATCGTGTATTTTGAAAAGCTACTCATGTTATCAATTACCAGGAATTAATGAACACTTCAGACACCAAGAGTATGCTAAGTAGCAAATCATCAAATAATGTTGAAACAAATTCTGAAATTTCTTTTTTACAAACAATAGCTTCTCCAACTTCCAATTCCTGCCCAAGTCCGTTAAATTATTTCCTCAAAAAAAAACCATTGGAACCACAAGGATCTAAATTCTCCCTAAATTCTCCCTAAAAAATTTTTCCCTCATTACCTCAGAACTCAAGCATAAAAACTTACTTCCTGGTCACTCACACAACGTCCAAAAACGTCACGAGTCAATCAACAACAAAAAAAAAAAATCAAGACCCCACCAGAATTACTCAATAGCCCCTCAAAAGTTGACAATCGTCAGAATAAAAATAAACAAACCTCCGGAAATTGTTTGTCCCGGTAATTTCCGAATAAAAATTCATCAAAACCCTCAAACCAATCCCACAATTTGAGGTTAAATTTCTCCATTACATAACCTAGATTTTCCATTGAAAATGGGCGGTTGTGGAGTGGGGGAAATACGCGGGAGGGCGATTGATATTTTTCCACGCATTCTAAATAAACAAAAAGTCCACCACAAAAAACGGCAGGGGGGGGGGGGCTTGTGAGCATTAACTCACCAAGCCCAACAATCAATCAATAAATCAATAAATAAACCATAAATAAACTAACCAAGTTCTCTCCACATGGCATAATGTGTATTAACATAACCATCGCGTATAGCCCTGAGGACATCCTCGTCCTTGTCACTCCAAAAATTCTTCTGCTTGACAATAATATCCATGAGATGTTCCTTAGCGAATGTCGCGGCCTCGCATCCCCCATGTCCATCAAAAATTCCAAAAAATGCATACTCCAAATCCTTATCATCAGATGTCTGTTGGTAAGCAACACTGAACATGTCCTCCATGTATTTTCTGCCGCCCTGATTGCAGTGTCCGGTTACCCGGAGGTTAACCTTGATGCTCAACGGCATCTTGACACCCCTCCTTCACAAATCCAAGATTAAAAAAAAAATAATTCAACTGAACCCAAGGTGTACTCCTTCTAATTAATCCACAGAAAAAAAAAATAACAGATCGTCCTAATGACGTGCGAGTTATCGTTGCACGAATAAACGAGTGATAGAGACTGGAACGGAAGCCTCGCATTTACTGACGAATTTGTGAGAACTTATTCCGACGATTCCGACGAATAGTGGGGCGTTTGGTTCCCGTGAGACTACCGTCTCTCAACCAATGAAATCACGAGAACAGTTGTCCCCCTAGGGGGTCATTATTGTCGGTGGGTCACACACACGCACAGAAAATAATACCATTGGTGGACACATGGAAATAACCAACACGACACGTCTAGATGAAAACTTGCACAGACACGTTTATTCTCCCACAGAATATATACTCAAGTCGCCTTAACTTTTCACATCCCCCACTCCCACTATTTTATACTCACAACCATGCCCCCCACTCCCAACACCTCAAGGAAAAATTTATGCTGACGCTACTGTACTCCCTGAATATCCTGTAGTCATGGAGTCGCTGTGTCGAGCATGAAGAGGGCAAAATGGAACGGCATATTGAATTTTTTAGGAAAACAATCAGGTACTCTATTAAATTCACTTATCATCTTTATTTTACGGATTTAGTACTGATTTTTTAGGGGACGACCTAGAAATTTTGGAGGTGAATGATTTTTCGGGGGATTTCGTGGGGATTGAACAAATTGGAATTGATCGTTTTTACCTTCGTGGACTGAAATAGCGGGAATTTGAGGTGGAGATTGGATATGTAGTGGTTTATTGTGAGATACTCACACAGGCAAAAGCTGACTTGTTCCTGCCTGTTTAGTCTCTGTGTGTTCTAGACGTTTTCGACGTTCTCGACCTATTCATACCGCGCAACTCGCCTCACGCAGGGGCAATGTTGCCACTTTTTATTATTAAAAGTTTACTAACCGTTCTGAATCATCCCGTACGTTGCCTTTGACGTGTCACTGGTTCAACGAAGAAAACCGCCGTTCCATTCGAATTATCTTCAACCATTGATTATTCCCTCAATTTATCTCACCAATTCGTCATAAATTTTCTTCACAGAACTTCTCTTCAATGAAAAATAATTGCACTTGATGATTACATTGGGATGCATATGAGATAATTATTTATTTAAATAATTATAAATACTTAAAGTCCAGACGAAAATACGCGCTTTGTTCTGCACGTGGAACTACTTTATTCTTTTTTTTTCATTTTTGTTTTTGGAGTTTGCTGTAGAGAATTGTAGAGATCGATTGATTAATTTTGGTCGATTAGCTGTGAGAGAGAAATCCAGTCGGGGGTCAATAAATGGGTCATGGATTTTAGTGGGAAGAATAGGGTTAAAGACTGGTTGTTTGATTTTTGAAGTGGCAAATGTCTTGAGAGGCACGTGTTTAGACTCGTGGATTTAGCGGCGCGAGAAACGTTTGGATTCGTTAGAGGCGTAAAAGTTTCTGGAAACTCGTAAACGTGACAACATGGCATGAGCCATTCGAAATAGCATGGGTCGCTCGAACCGAGACTTTCGCCGTGAATCCAATCCATCTTTTTTAACCAACAGGGAGAGAGAAAAAAATACCACAGACCTCACACCAATTGTATCATCAAATTTTCATCAATTTTTCATCAATTTTTCATCAATTTTTCATAACGATAAAACAGTGATTTTTGTTGAACTATTGACTATTTTTTAAATCTGGTTGAGAACCATTAAAAAGGTCATTTAGCTTAGATACCAGCAGTTGCGCTCATTGCACTGGTTGCATCATCATTCGACAAGATGGCAGTCCTATCTGCACCATTTTCTAATTCAAATATGTCAGCAATAATAATTTATTAATTAGTGGAAAATTATGGGTTTTTATTTGGCAGATATGGATGGTGATCGGGGAGGAAATGGCAGTCAGGTATGGAGAACATGTTTTGATAATGGCGATTTTGGAATAACATTCACGCACTTTGTCTCTGTCCATCCGACCAACTTTTGTCGTGACTATCCAACTGTTATTTTCCATGTGTATGAATCATGTATACCGACAAGTGTACATGCAGATTACGTGCGCAACTTCAAGAGAACCGGGAAAATAATTCTGAAAGGCATTTGCGCATGTTGAAACCTGTCGGGACTGACGCATCGGTTTTATCTTCAGCCTAGCAACTAAAAAAATACTTTTGCAAATTAAATTGACTTGCATGTTAATTCACTAGGTCATACCCAATGGACACAAGCACTGGGCCCTTGAATTCGTGGATTGTCACTTTATTAGCAAATTTACTTGGGAAAAGTAATTTTTTTTTTACGATGGCATTAATTTCTGATGGAATGCAATCCATTATGTTTAGGATCAACCAGACATTCCCATTAGCATGATTATCGTACGTGTGCTTTTATTGTTCCTATGGATTATTATCTTTGTTATTCATTTTTTAGAGATATCCAGTAATCAATATTTGTTGATGCAGGATTTGCCATCCGCTGCTGTTGGTCGAGTTTAGATTTAATGAACGACGGAGAGAGATTTTACCTCGGGAATTTTTCTCTTTACAGATGTTGTATATAGGGTAATCTGTGTCATGGAGGGACTAGGCTCGACATCTCTGGATGGAATTTGGTACTTCGAGGATGACGTGGCTAATTTGGAGATGGCGCCAGTGAACGGATAAATCTATAAGGCCTGCGATAAAAGATAAATTTTCAGTTATTTTATTTATTTATTATAGAAAATATATTGTTATGGAAATTACTGAGATGTATAAATTTAGTATCATTGATTTTTGAATCATCCTTTGGGCAAATGGTGTAATGTTTTCGATTTAAAATAACTTTTTCTAGGACCTATGAACTTGAGTGATTTTATCGAAAACAGTGGATATAAGAGCAGAGTGGCGCAGTGGAAGCGTGCTGGGCCCATAACCCAGAGGTCCGTGGATCGAAACCACGCTCTGCTAGTTCTTTTTATTTTTTATGTTTAACCGAATGTGATAACAGTGATAATGAATTCACTAATGTAGAGAATAAAAACTACTCTCTAAGAGTGATATTAGTATTTTTCCCAACTGTACCCAGGGTTCGCGACGGCAATGCAGCTGGTATGAATCCCTGCAATCCTACAATTCGGGACTTCTAGTTTGAAATTGCCCGCAAAAACGAAGGGAGGACTTCCACACAAGAAATATACCAGAACGATAACACAATACGATAACGTATAATTTCATAGACTTACAAAAAATCAAATCCAACAGAAAATTAGTGAGATATGTTTAATGTAGGATAATAATCCCAGTGTAATTAATAAAAAAAAAAAGAAAGAAATGATGACAAAATTTTCATTAAGAAATGGTTCAAAGCTCTTGTGGTGATTGAGGTAGGTTGGGTGTTTATGCAGGGGAATTTACTGGAAAAAACAAAAATTTCGCCCGACGTGGGGCTCGAACCCACGACCCTGAGATTAAGAGTCTCATGCTCTACCGACTGAGCTAGCCAGGCTTAGTATGTGGGCCGCACTATGATCTATAAAAACATGAGATAAAAAAAACAGGTTCCTATCTTACCAACTCAACCAGCTGGATCGTGAAGAATGAGAAAAAACTAAAAACTAAAAAATTTTCAGCCGTGGGAAATATGTGACCCAAATTTGGGACATGTTAGACTTTTGGCGATGCCCCCTCTCATCCTAAGACTAATCAGCTGATTACATAACAGCGATGGATTACCCCCAGTTATTCTACTCCCTTATCATTCTTCTCGATAATTGATAGTTGCAAATCGTTTTGTAGTCGATGGCTGAGGAATTCAACTATAATTCATTGATGAAGCTGTTAATGGCATAAGACACTTGTGATTTTCGTAGAACTAGTTGTTAGAATATCAAGTTAAAATTCATAGAAATATGTAGAACTGATTTATGATGATTACAAAAATGAATCGATATGGAGGGCTTCACGGAGTCGCCTCAGAGTTTGTATAAACATAAACAATGATTTCACAACAAACCATTGTAGGGTTCTTTCTTTGGTGACAAATATTCTTATGGTCTATGGTCTGTGGTCTATGTGGCTAGTCTTTAGTCTCTTGGAGATATTGATAGAGTTCAGACGGTATTCTTCCTCCTGCGATTTTAATAAAGAAATAGTGATTAGGGTTTATTAACTGTTTTTTTATTAAGTTAACTATCCCATTTCCAATACTAGTCGTCAGAATCCATTGGGAATCAGCATGTAGGGACAAGATAAAAGGCAAGACTCCACTTCATTCCAGTTGATTCATGAGAACAGACGATAGTAGCCATGTGCTAATGGATTTGCTGCAACATCAATTGTTGTTAAATTAAATCCACATCAACAACTGATGTGGACTTTCAGGGTCTGTCTGGTGGCAACTCACCACCAAATGCCAATATTTTTTCAATTGTGTAGGACCAAGTCAAATATATTGATTTTTTATGGAATGTTTTACGGAATGGAACCAATAACAAATGAAAGCATTCCCATTTATTTGATTTTTAGGGAATTCTGTGAAAACGATGACTCCTTCAACAATAATGACTGAATTTCCCTCGGCAAGACGAATACCATTTGCAGAAAAGATGAAGCTTGTCACCATTTAAGAAAACTGCCGTTATGCTCGTAACATAGAAGCAAAAAGTAACGGGAGTCTGAATGCCAGCATTTGATTTATCACTCCAAAGTCTAGAGCTTTTATTTAAACAATTATTCTGTCCCTTGTAGGTGAAAATATATTGCCGATAATTTAATTGAATGACTCGATCTTTCATTTATCGTTAACAAATAAATTTTAATTAAAGACTCGATATAATGTAAGCTAGGTTGTTAATGTCCAATGTTACTTGCTCGAGAGTTTGTCTCGAAGTGTCCTTGGTCACCAGTTCGTCCAGGGTGACAGGTCCACCCACAAGACAAGGCCCTTTGTCTATGGGGTTGATCCACGTGTTGAACTGTTTCGATCATAAACAGCCTAAATGTTTCCATTATTCCCTGTGATCTGTTACAACGGGTCTCTTGTTCGTTTTAACGTTGAAAATATTTCCATCACCCTTCGTTATTGTAACACAAGCTGAATTATTGTCAACAACCTGTCTACATCTTTTTAAAGCTGTGCAAGTCTTTAAATGAACTTGAACAAATAAAGAAGTATCGGGTTATCCGGAATTTTAAATTGCGGTGTCACTTGTTAGATCAAGTGTGACGGACAGATAATAAATCGGTTATAATGCTATCATGTTACCAGAGATCGTCGTATTTTTGTCGGTCTCACGATTATCATTGATGTGTCACATAATAAGTCAGTGGAATACTCGGTCATGTTTCCGCATCCCTGACTCTTGCATATTTTAGATTCTCCTCATAATTCTGTTACATTGAATGTCAGACACTCCTATTACCACGAAAGTATGATCCATTTTGACGTTTAATGTTCTGCATGGTATCAAGTAATGGGTGAAAGAGTCGAGAATTTTTATGTATTGTCATTTCAATGACAGCATATTGTCAATAATTACAGTACATTACAGTACATCGTCTGGTGTACTCAAATTCCTCTCGATTTTTTCGATCCGCTTGTATTACATACTTATTCGTTGGAGTTAACCGTAAATATTATTGATTTAATAATATGTCATTTCTTTTGGAATTGTAGGAGCAACGATTTTGTTGAGGCAATCGAATATTTGGTAATAATTACTGAATCTCGATTGATGGGACACGTCATCTAGTTCATTCTCTTACATTCAATTCAATTATCATTTTTGTCAGAATGAGGTGCATTTAAAATATTCAGTCCTTCTTATGAAAATAGAAACAGAAAAATGAAGTTCGCCCGAGTCGAAATATCTCAAAATGCGTAGGACTAATTCCTCATTGGTCAACTCGAACCGCCGAATTCGAATTCGGCGCACGGAGTGCGCAGTAGATCTCGTCCTTTTTATGGAAGTAGAAACACAAAAATGAAGTTCGCCCGAGTCGAAATATCTCGAAATGGGTAGGAATAATTCCTTATTGGTCGAGCCGAACTGCCAAATTCAAATTCGGCGCACGGAGTGCGCAGTAGGTCTCATTCAGCAACAGTTACCTAATTGTGGTAACCTCAACTGAATCTGCCAGTTCACACTTTTTTACAGATGTCGGAGATACATCATGTTGTAGACAATGAAATTACAAGTGGGTTGCTTCCATGCCTTCCAGTAAAATCTTCTCACATGCGTAATGAATTCGCACATGCAGTGCATGTAATAAAATTTCTGTCTGGATGAGAAAAAGAGTTGACTCTACAGAGCAATTTACCATCACATACAATGGACAAGTACGAAATTAGATGTGTAGGACCCATCGGTGTGAACCTCGAAATGTGCAAGTGTGCAGAACCACCGGAAACCAGAATCTGCAACCTTCACACAACGATCCCATTCACATTTTCTGCTTTCTTCATCACCTCTAAAAATCAGACGATTCACCAGAATTGCTGAAATTATTCACAAAAAAATTCTGAAACAGGTGGATACGTAACTTAACTCAAACAACTGCGAAATAGTTAAATAATTGCATATTTATTCAGCAAATATAACGTATCAGGAAGAAACCTAAGCACAGTATCAGTTGTTCATCATAAAAAAAAAATTATCAATACAATAAATAATGATGCGATGATGTTCAGAATTAAATTAGTGTAATTAGCGATATTAGCGAGCTGATTTCGCATCAGGTACTAGCGTCGGTAATTTACACTGAGAAAAAAAATTTGCTCTGTTGAATAACTAGATGTTCAGTAGGCTACAATTTTTTGGATTGAAAAAAATTGTTTCCCAGAAAAAAATTTCTTCGAAAAGTTTCATTATTTCTGTTGAAAAGTTCAACAATGAGACATGAATACACGTCTTTGAGTAAATTAAAAGAAAATCAAAATCTCTGGTTCTCAATTTTTCCTGAAAAATTGATTATTCAATTTCATTTAACCAATGATTCATGAATTTGCTTCAGTATTGACCCAAGAATAGCTCAATGAATTCCTAAATTCCACAGGATAGCTCAAATAATATTCATGTAATTATTCCAAAAACAGAAAGAACTCAACGAACTGAAAAATACATGCCTTCGCGGCTGGTAAAACGCGTTTTCGAGCACAATGACATAAAATAGCATCATAGCCCCGGCGAAAAAAAATGATTCTGACTCATGCGCGGTATAATCCTCTCCTCCGGCTCTGACCATAAAGCCGCATTCGTCAGATTCACTTTTTCCGTCCTAGGCGTGAAAAATACTATTTCTCTCGGAATTGAAAAAATGTGGTGATCACATATTTTTCAAAAAGAAAAATAACCACACGATCTGTCTGCCCCTAATCTAGTCGTCGTTTTAGCATTTACTATTACATTTTCAGTATTATATATGAATCGTAAAACCATTCGCACATATTGCTAATTTATTCGCCAAAATCCATTTAATATCAATTCAAGCGAATTTAGTTTCAGTGGAACGCATTATTTGATCTTCAATATTGTCGACCCGAGAGAAAGAGATTCCGAAGAAACTAGTTACGCATTAATTTGTCTCAAGCTATTGAATTATTTCCGAACGCCTACATTATTGGGAAAAAATATTTCGTTATTTCTCAGCAAAATTAATGTATTTTGGGCGGAGCAAATTTTTTCTCTCAGTGTGCAATGCACATGGAGAGAAATTTGTATGAAAAAATCGTTCCAGAATCGCTTGAAAAATTACCGGACTGCGCAGTAAGCGTGGAGAATTGTGGCCTAACCTTAAATATTAGGGTACAGTCCAGTAAAATTTCCCAGCTCCGTCGCTGAAAAAGTAATGAGAAATACAGTAAAATTTACTGGAGATCCAGTAAAATTTACTGTAGGTCCAGTAAAATTTACTGGAGGTCCAGTAAAATTTACTGGAGGTCCAGTAAAATTTACTGGAAGTGTAGTAAAATTTACTGGAAGTGCAGTAAAAAGTGAATAACTAGTACGAATATTTCAGATTTTTAGCAGTACATTTTAGAAGATCGAATGAACTTCGGAGAAAATTGAGGATCAGTCCAGTAAATTTTGTTGCCCTGCGCAGTAAATATTCCGGAGAACTGCAGTGATTTTTCATGAATTTCACATAACTTTTCATCAGGCCAGTGCCATATCCCGCGTTTACAAATACGAGACGAGTAATTTTTCGTGCATATCTCTCTCCGCGCAGACTATCTTGATTAACGGAGGGAATATACCATGGCAACAGTGAGTATAAATCCAAAATAAGTAACATCATTGGTGATGGCTTGACCCGTATAGTTCTGAGGTCGATTCGACCCATCCTTCTGTAAATCTCTAACGAGATGCGTAGCATCATACGGGCACTTATGATCGGTGTATCCGATAGTTCTCACTTCCAAAAACTGCTTAAGCTCCTGCCAGCATCTCCACTTTAATGGGTTTCTGCTGAACTCAACGGTATCCAATCGAGACAGATGGGTGAATGAATCGGTATAGATACAACTAAACATGTTATCCTCCAAATTAAGATACTGGAGATACTTCAAATTATGGAACGCTCTCGACTCTATTTCCACGAGGTAATTATTACTCAGATCTAGCCGATAGAGATTCTCACAGTGATGGAACCATCCCTCCCTAACTACCGCAAAATTATTACCCTTAATCGTCAGTTTTTCAAGTCTTCGCAGTCCATAGAACGCGCGTTCATCGATTTCGTTTAATGAACAGTTACGTAAGATGAGTTCTGTGAGATTTTCGAATCTGGAGAATGTGGAAGCGGGTAGGTGTTCTATGTAGCAGTTGTAGAGTTCGATGGATGATACCCAACTAGGTATTTGATCAAGTATGAAACGATCACCATTACTGCAGTGATAATGCTTGCCATCGTGATCTGCAAAGCAGGAACCACTGATATTCACATGGAAATCGGGTAACGGAAGTGGAGGATGCATAGTTGTTGATGGAGGTGGTGGAGAAGGAGTGATAGTAGTTCCTGGTCTAGGAGTGAAGCCACCATTATGACATCTGTCTTTCAAGACCATATCTAAACAGGTATTTGAACAGAAAAGATTTCGACTATTGATAAAACGATGTAAAGCTTCCGCGCACAAACAAGTCCACGGATTGTCAGCCAGATGTAACTCACGAATGTGCCGGAGGCTCTGCAATTTCTCGGTTGTGAGACAATTGATTTTATTCTCTGATATATCAAGACTGACGAGGTATGGCACCATGTGAAAGACCCTCGTTTCGATCTCGTGAATGTTATTGTGTGCCAAATTGAGATGTTGCAATTTACCAGTCTCCGTGAACCATTCGGTACGAATGACTTTAATATCATTTCCACGTAAAATGAGAACTTGTAAATTTCTGATTCCAGCGAAGGCGCGGTCTTCAATCTCTCGTATCGAACAGTCACGGAACTCTAATCGCTTTAGGAATCCATCGAACTCGCGGAAGGTATCAGATCGCAGAATGGGGATTACTGATTTGGAGAATATTATGGTTTCCGTTATTGACGGAATCTGACGGATATCGATGAGGGATGCGTCTTCGCAGAAGTATGTATGGCCGCGCAGCTGATTGTAGTACTGGCTGTCGTAATAATGTCCTGCTGGTACTGATCTACAGCCGTTGTGACGAATTGGAGGTGGAGTAGTTTGTATTACTGGGGGTGGTCTAGGTGTGACGGGTCGAGGTCGAGTTGGTCGAGGTTGTTGAGTCGCGTAACCCCAGCTCCATCGTATCCATCCGCTCGATGTGTGATTGTAGAATTCCTATCACAGATTATCATCATTATTAATAATTGTTAATTAGAATTCAGCTCAGTATCAATGAAGTCATGATAAATATCAATTGGATATTCTTTACGATCACACGAGTCACATACACCCAAAAAACAAAAAACAATTTTGGATGATCAAGTCGAGAAAGTTTTTAATTCGTACTTGAAACAAATTAATGTTCATGCGTAAAATGATAAGCTGGAGTATGTAAACTTCATTTGTTATTGTTTTTCTTCTGTGCGCTAATGTTTATAGGAGTTTGAACGAATATCTTTGAAATGCTTGAAGGAAAAACGAAAAATAAAATAAGATAAAAATAAAAAAGACGTAAAAAGACTTAAAGCCATTATCACGCCGTATAGTATAGGACGGAAATTTGAACGAAATTGGAAGGGATCGAGCACAATTATATATTTACTGTAAATACGTCCATAAGACATGCTAATGGTGAGTCATTTTTTTGGTAATTAGTATATATATTTGGCAAATGATTTTTTTTTCATTTTATGAGGCTTTTAATCGGGTGAATCTCGAGGTTAACAACGTAAATTGCGGTTTGAAATCAATTACGATGTTGTGATGAATATCTATGAGGTATTTATTGTCTGAAAAATCACCTAGAGAAGTAAATAATCGTAAAATACGGGTTATGAAATGTAATTTATGATGTTTCCAATCGGGTACACGACAAGATCAAAAACGTAAATTACGATTTCAAAGTCGGAAGTTCCGTTGCGAGATGGTAAACTCAGACGAGTACATTCTTTAGTCCAGTTTTTAACATTATTTTGTTAAGTATCTTTTTTGCAGCTATTGTCTTTCTTCATGGAAAATATCTATGAGCAAATATCGCTATCTCCCTCTAATTTCTAGACATTAGTTAAAAGCTGGCCTTGAACAGATGCACTTATCGCAGTTCACCACCTTCTTACTGATTTACGGGTGGAAACTCGTAATTTACGAGTTGGAAGTCGTCATTCCCGTTTTTCGTCTTATGATTTACGACTCGGAATTTCGCATTGACGTGTTTGAAATAGTAATTTGAAATGTCAACCTCAGAGCGTTTATGACAAAATCTGAAAGACTTGGTGAACGAATATTTCGATCAGATAAGAGGGGCAGGGGGGGGGGGATGTTTCCGCGCGACAGTCTGTAAAAAAGTAATTTTTCGACCCTGTAAAACGGCCGAGATTACGGTACGATTTTTTGACAGTAAACGAAGAGCAACATTCAATAAAAATTGCAGAACTGTAATTCGGTGGCCGATTACGGAAGTAATTATGAAAATTTACGTGCACGGAGAGAAATATTTAGTAAAAATTACGGAACTTTCAGTTCACTTACGATTACGGAGTTGATTCGAAAAATTGAGGTGACGGTATTGTAATTTTACACGGATAATTCAGATAAAAATTACGGAACACTGCAGACAAATTCTGTGACTTTAGATAAAAATTACGTGACAGTTCCGTTAAATTTCCGACAACCACATTTCGCTCCAGAATTACGAAAAATACACGTAATTTTTATTGAATGTTTCTGTGTGTATCGTAATTCTTCCCCGAAAACTCAGTAAAAAAAAATTACTGGAGAGGAGTTTAACGTGGGCCTCACTAGTAATGCTTAGTTAGTTCGTTGTAAGTCTTCGTTCAGTAAAGTACCCCTCGACTGTCCAGAGTCTTATAATTTTTAATAATAATTTCCATTCCTAAAATACTCCAAGTGTTTATTTATTTCGATCTCCATAATCTAATACTATGCAATCAAACTATCCGTGATTGTACTCCGGGTAACTAGTGATCTGATCTAGATTACCCTAGTGAAAGAATGGACTGATTTGATTGCACCCCCCCCCCCCCCCTTCGGAAAAAGTCCCCAGCCCCACCACTAATTTGACTAGGCAATATAAATTCTTTAGCGTCCGTGCAGTGATTACAGTTATATCCTGCTATAAACTAATCATTTATCTCAGTATTGTGATTATAAATATGGGTATGACCAAACACATCGATACGTCCTTCCACAGATATGTGATTCTGTAGACCAATTGATAATTCCAGAGATAAACTCCAGAAAATAATAACATACGTTCACTTGTACGTAATGCACTATACCTCATAATTTCTCTTTATGAAAAAAAAAATGTTCCGAGAAGGTTCTCCCAGAGAAAAGCCATTCAAAAATATTCATGAAACGTATCATCTGTTTGGGATTTGATGTACTCTTGAGAATTCCATTTTAGGGCGTAATCGACTCATCTCAGTTTACAAAAAAAGACGTCTAGAAAAAAAACGTCAATTGATGGCGTACGTTCATGATTGAGATTAGCAAGAAACTTGTTTTTGTAACCTGACTGTTGCACGGAGAGAAATGTTCAAGAAAAATTACGGAACATTTCACGTAATCCGCATGCGAGAATGATTTTAGATGAATGTTTATTGAAATATAAAAGAAAAATCTGAAACACTCAGAAAATTTGACAGACTTTTTGCATCGTCTCACGTTAAAAATGAAATCTTTTCTTTATTGGAGACCCGCAAAACACGAAATTGTTATGTACAAATATTACTGACTACTGAAGGACATGAACTTTTGAATGAATTTTTTTTTGAACCTGAAAATCTCAGGCAGGTAGCGAAATTTGTTATAACCATGTCTGTAAGATTAATTGAGACCTACGAAAAAGGTTTTAAATGAATGGCAATATCTCTTGATTTCGGATATCTCTGACAAGTTGAATGGAAAGATAAGACTTATCCCTGTTTACCAGTTCACTACTGAATCCATCAAGTACTTACATTATAATCGTTTGGCCGACTGACTTCACTTCCTTGCAAGCAGCCAACGCCATTATTCCCTCTGTTACTGATTTCGTAGCCAATCCGTCGCCTCAATAAATTATTCTCCAAATCCTGTCGACAGGAACAAAGCCAGGGATTCTGACTGGCATCGAGTCTCTCGAGATTCCCTAGACCACCAATAACATCTCCAGGAAGACAATTGAGTCTGTTCGCCTTGAGATCCAATATTCTTAAATTGCTGAGACGATCCAGGGCGCCATATTCAAATTTTTCAACATTACAATTTTCAAGAACAAGTTCGGTAAGTCTTCCAAGGTCACGGAACCAACAGCTCCTAATAGTCGGCAATCTAGCTCCAGTGATAACTAATCGTTCGAGCTTGTGCAGTCCAGCGAAAGCCTCAAGCTCGATCGATTCGATTCCACAATTTCTGAGAGTAATACTCCTCAAGGTATTGCCAAATCTGAAGAACATGTATCGCTGCAGGATCGGAATGTGCACATCAAAGATCTCCAACCAACCGATATTATCTGGCAGATGATCTAGATTATGAATACTCGTTACTTTCTGCTCGCGTCGTTCGATGTTGTAACGATTATAATAATTTGTATCAGTGATCACATTCGGTGGAGGAAGTGGCGGATATTTTAAGACGACCATGCAATCGTAAACGTAACGACTGGAATTGGTCTCGTAAGTTTGTTCGCTGGACCAGGTAGAATAGTGACCTCTTTTCCGTCGATGATGCGTAAAATCATTATTCGACATTTGCTGAATATTTTTACTCTGCAAAAACGTGAGAAGTGAATTCTTACAATCGCACGACCACGGATTGTCATCGATTTTCATAATCTTCAGTCTCTCAATTTTGGTTAAGGCCTCAACCGGAAGACAATCTATATCATTATTCCTAATGCTGAGTTCTTCTAATCTCTTACTCAATATTTCGAACACTTCTGGCTCAATGTACATCAATCCCGTTCCCTCGAGTTTCAATATTTTCAAATTTGGAATATGCTGGAATACCGCGGCCCTGGCGACGCCCACTTTTGTATTGAACATGACCAACATCTCGAGCTGATCGAGGCCGCGGAATGCATCTGCATTCAATTCATTAAGCTTACAATTAAAGAACGTGAGTTTTCGCAGCTGGGAAAATCGTGCAAAAGCGTCAGCGGGGATGACGTCAAAACGTGCGACCGTGAATTCGATCCACTCAGCTTCATTTGGCACATCATCCAAATCCTTGAGATCACCATGAAGACATACATAGGCTATTGTGCGGTCGCCAGTTTCAACTGGTGTCAAACTGCACTTCGCCTCACTACCGGATAATACTCCTGCCAGAAGTAGACCCACGGTTATTATTAAATACATCATTAATATTATCTATCCTTCTTCACTCTGATGATTATATTTATTGTCCTTGAAAACGATAAATTGATCGTTGCACTATTAATCTGATGGTGTGTGATCACCTGGTCCAGAGGAAGGCTGTCACCAGTTATGCAATTCTTAGATGTACCGAATTAGTACATCCAAGGGTAACTCTGTACCTAGGACTTAGTCACCCGCGCACTTCTAGCACAAGACCAATAATGGAAGTGATAAAAATAAATGACGTCCCGGATTTTTTAAACTTGTGCACATATTGAAAATTATGCACTGCACTGATGTCTCGTGTGGATTTCCTAGAGATTAGAGTGAGAATTGACTTTAAAAATTTAAGGGGCTGCAATTTTAAAACTCCTACCACATAGAGCTCTCGCAGCCAACTGCCACATGATGAACTGTCATCATTCTCGTAGCAATGTTGATAGGTGGAAGGGAAGCGGAATCGATTTAGGGAAATGGGGAAGGGTCGGTACTAGTTTGATAGGAGTAGACACACCCGGACATCAATAGTAATTGAACTGTGATGGATTGACAGTACTCACACGATGGGCAAAACGATCGACCGACTGACCGCTCCGCGAGTAAGCAACGCTATTATATAAACCCGTAAGGACAAGGTCAGATTTCCCTCTGACCGTTTTGCTCTCTATCTTTAGCTAGTGTGTTAGTATGTTTGTTGGTACTGACAAACGTGCAGATCGTGTGGCGTGTTTGGCAAAACAACTTTTAGCGGCTATTACCACTGCCGATCTAGGTGGAAGCGAATCGGTGGGGTATAATGAAAAAGCACGTGTAGGGCTTTTCACTCCCGTCGACGACAGATGATGTCTCATTCTACGATGACGAGCGGTTAATTGCCCACCTAAATGGATCAACCACTTGACCAAAATGAATTTCTCAGTTAGAACGAACCACATGCTGTCATGTATCAGATGTAATTGTTGTTCATCAAGTTTGTAGGTTTTTCTGCGGGTTTTTACGGGCGGAAAAAATCGAGGCAATTATCGCTCGAATAATGTTATGATTGTTACTCATTGCTAACCGCAAACGATTCCGAGTTTTGAGGCCTTCATGCCTGTCTGATGCTCGATGTGGGTGGCGTCAAATTATCATACAATTAGAGATTCGTTGATGGTCAAATTTGTGTAAATAGATTTATAAAGGTTTACCCATTTTCTAATAATTCGAAATATTCAAGAAAAATTATGGAACATTTCACGTAATCGGCCAGCGAGAATTGTTTCCGGGAAATAAATCTGGAACTTTCAGTAAATTTTTCGGGTTGTGTCACCGAAAAAATACGAAAAAGTCACGTAATTTTTCTGGAGGTTTTAAAATCGAACGACACTTCAAGACTTATTATGCCTCAGAACAGAAAAATTATTGGATGTTCAAGAATTTATACGGAACGTTCCGGAAAAATTACCTTGAATATCTTGAATATTTCTTCCGTGCGAGGTGCACATGCCAACGAAGGAAACTTCCTGTTGTCCTGTCTGAAAAGCGGGAGGAAAGTGTATACTTTCCGTCCTAGGGTAAAAAGTTGCCCCCTAGGGCGGAAAGTCTTGACTTCGCGACCTTGGCAGCACCTTCTCCGTCAAGGAATTTCAAGGACACACGGGCCTACCTCAAGACCATTGTTTCTCCCTGTTGTTTATACTTCTCATCTTACTCTGTTTCCCATTCTCTGAGAGACGCGAATGGTTTATTCATCACAGAAGTGATATTTGCGATGATTATTCTTTTTGGCGGATCTTGAACTTTTATACATTTACGGAAATTTGAAATATGAAAATGAGGGAATTTGGAGGAACCATTAATTACATATTTTCATACAAAAAATCGAATATCGAGTTTCCAAAATAGAAGAAAATACGATGAAAAAGAATAAAAGTGGAAAAAAATATGTTGGGAACTTATAAATTATTGAAAAAAAATATTTTTTCAATTCATATTTCGAAAACGTGATTAAACAGGAAACGGTGATTAATCATGCTTGTCACATATATCGACATCCAATGGAGATATCTTCAAGGGCTACATAAAGATTTCTATAGATATTGGTCTAGTGAATTAGATCTGGATACTCTCCAGAGATTGCAAAATAAACTGCATCTCAGGTAAATTTCACAGGGTTTTTTTCCAGGTGATAAGAGAAGAACTACAAATTTTGGTCTACAGTTGCTTTGTCCTCCATGCCATTTTGCCGCACGCTCATTTTACCCAACACTTCATCTAGCCTCGGTTTTCATTCTACTGTGCGTTTAACTTTGCCTCGCGTTTAATATTGCCCCTCTCTCGCTAGCAGGTTGAGCAGTTCGGAGGCGCACGCATTGTTTGGAGGGGATGAGAAATAATAATAATCGTCAAAAAATAACCCCACTCCACATTAACTACGGAAACCAGGCGATGCTTGCACATTACAAAAATTTGAGATCTATTTTAGATCATTCGGAATGCAACATTACGTTTCCGTTTGAGTTAATTTTGGAGGTGCAGATGTCTGATTTAATGGTTGAATGGTCGCCAAATGTATATGTACAGCTGTAGGATATTGCGATAACATATTGGGGATATAGCTCAGTGGTAGAGCATTCGACTGCAGATCGAGAGGTCCCCGGTTCAAACCCGGGTGTCCCCTTGGTAGCATATTATTTTGTTGATTTCAATGTCCATTTTTACATTTCTATTGTAGGCTTTGGCGATGCTCATATACTCAGACGTTTCAATGCGCTTTCACATTGGGGATATAGCTCAGTGGTAGAGCATTCGACTGCAGATCGAGAGGTCCCCGGTTCAAACCCGGGTGTCCCCTACTGATTTTTTTCCTTTTTCAAGCGAAATTCTTTCACTTCCGAATAGAAGTTTCATATATCTTCGATTCATAAGTCATCCCATTGGAATATGGGTGCAAGTGAATAGGAAAACAGGGCATTCGAACCCGCGTGTGTATTACTGATCTGAAGCAGATCGAGGGTGGTAAGCAGGCGGGGTTGAGCATAGGTATGGCGGAAATAATTCAGTAATGGGATATGAATATACGCGTTTTTGAATAAAGCATATAATTCGATAACTCAAATATTATGTTAAACAAGTGGATGGGGTTTATATCAGCCGCCTCCCCGTCGCGAACCCTGGGTTACGCCGACAGCTGGTATGATTTTGATTAAATCATACTTAGCAAGAATTTAAGGAATTCAATGAAATATAAATACTATCATAATTTTAAGGGCTTTGCCGACAATTGATATAATTTATTTTTCAGCGAAAATTTGTCAGTCCCTATACCTTGCGACATGAACTCTACCTACGTCTCTGTCATTTAATACTCTGGTAATTTCTTCCAAATTTTCAATATACAAGCATCTGAGGCGTGTTTTGCGCGACTATTGTCATCCTATACCTTCATATACACGAAAAAAAATGATTAAATTAATGAAATCTATATTTATATATTCAATATACATTTCCCACGTTTTTTCATTTGATAATTTAATTATAACACATGCGAAAACAAACTATTGCAATTCATCTTTAGAAGGATAAATTCATGTTAAATATAGTATTGCAATTATTAATGCTCCTTCAACAACAGATGTTGGTAGATAACACTGGATTACGACTTGGGCTCGTCATCTATATCGTATTCCAACATTTTGCCGTAGTATGTTCTAAAAGTAATACACTAACAAGTATTTGTCTCACTATGAAACCAGGTTGGAAATTACAGATTCATTAACTTACAAGCATTGGCATGTTTGCTGGCTGAACCCGTTGAATTCCAGCGGAGGACTGCATTTTTGCTGACATGCTTCCTTTGTCCACACATCTCCGAACATCCAACGCCATAGGGAAACTGGGGAAAAAGAGGAAAATAAATTTTTTGTGCAAAACTTAATCAAATGAGGACGTCCGCATGAAAAGAGTCCGCTGCGGCGGTATTGGAATTATCTATATATATCTCAGGTGTATACCTAATTAAATTTGGAACATTTTGAGAGGTTACATGTCACGCTAGAAGAAAAAACCGTGTAGTTACAGACCTTCAAAGTTAAAAATGCTAAAAACTTTGCTTTGAGAAAAATAATATCAAAGTTCGAGATACCAATATCTTGTGTTCTACTTAAAAATCAAATAGATTATGGTTTGAATACCTAGGAAATACTCGTCTGAACATAAACTATAGTATTTATTGTGGTTACATTAACGGGTTATCATTAAATAAACGGCCTAGGACATAGTGGTTTTCCTTCTCGAAGATGCATGTTTTAGTGCAATAACTGATTTTGCAAGAGGAAAAATAATAATTATTAAGATGACTATTATTAATATATGAACATTAGAATCCATCGAATACGGAGAAATTAAAATACCACAGATTTTTACTGGAACTCATATTCATTCCCTCTGAAAAAGAATATTGATTGCTCGTCTCAATTGTCAGCTGCACTAAATACTTCATACTCATCGATACGCATAGGAGGATATTTTTTAAAAATATTTTTAAATTTATTATAATGAAGAAATGGGGTTAGAAGCCACTTACATGCATGGGCCATCTCCATGATACCGAAGATGAACAACAGGACAACAGAAAACTTCAAGAACTTCATTTAACCAACATGGAGGGTTTCGAATTTCGTAAAAAAATATTTTGAATCTTACTCTGCATGAACCGTAGAATGTGCATCTTTATATAGTCCGTTGGCATTCGATTTATGACTAGGACATTAAAATGCGCCCGGAATATTCCGGTTTTTTGTGGTTTAAAATAAAAAAGAAGGGGTAAAGTACTAAAAATTATGCGACAAAATCTGAAAAGTGTGTTGAAACTGAATTTGATCAAAATCCGCATCAACAGCGCGGATTCTGAACAAATATATCGCTAAAATGCTCTTCAAACCGTATGGCATATGGTGCTTCATGTTACCCGACTGACTATGTCTCTTAATTGCCCTGTCACGGGCAAACAAAAATCTAAGGTGATAAGTATGGCCGCTTATCGCCTTCCATTTTACTTACCTCCATAGGGCACTAAAAGTACGAGGTTAGGGCGGGACGAAATACTTAAACCTAGGAGTTAGATTAGAGCGGGGCGACCTCTGTTCTGAGAGCAAATCGTGCTCCCAACCTTTATTAGTGCGTAACAAAAGGTAGACGAGAGCCCATTGTATCAGGCGATGGGCCTGATCGAGCAGGGTCGTAAAGGCCCTTCTCCTACTCTGAAATCAACCGAAGTGGGGGTAGCCATTAAGAAAAGAAAAAGAGAATAAATTACGCTGAAGAGAAGGAAAAGCGAAGAAATAAGTCGAAAATGAAAAATTTCCCTTTTTCATTCCCATCACGTAAGGCTTACAGGAACAGAAAAATTCGCCGTCAGTGACTCTTCAGATCGCTGTGGCACCTGCTGGACAATACTGAGGATGACCGCGGTAGTTCGATGCAAAGATCTTGGTGCTCAGGCTTTTCGCTTGCCAGGTGAGAAGATCCAACAAGGGGTTCGAGTAGTGCCAAAAAAAAAAACCCAATTTTTTATCTAACCAGAAGTGCCAATGCGGCTG